TTATCTGCCAATGATGATACGATAAAAGAGATTTATGGTAGCCAATGTTGACTACCCCAATTCCCTCACAAGATGGCTACATCAGATGATCGCCGGCGTCAAGTACGTCAGCTCGTCCTTGAAGCTGCCAGAGCACGAACCAATGAAGCGTTGACGTTGAAGAGCGAGGACTGCAATAAGGAGCTGTTCGCACCCTTCAGTCCGTCCCCAGTCGCGGTAATTGATGCTGTGTGGAGAAAGATCGAAGACGCTGAATTGTCTTTGACCGCTGAAGATCTTCTGGTAGAATTGGGCTGTGGCGACGGACGCTGGTTGATCTCGGGGGTCAAACGGTTCAATTGCAATGCATTCGGAGTGGAGCTAGACGAGGCTCTGGTTAAAAGAGCAAGCCACCAAGTACAGAAAGAGGGACTGCAACACAAGATTCGAGTGGACGTGGGAGACGTCATGGAGACCGACATTTCCGGTGCCAGGTTGGTTATCGTCTACGCTTTTGCAGAGTCATTGCCTGGTATTGCAGAGCGATTGACAAACCAGCTGAAGGAGAACGCAAACGTCTTGTCGATTGGGGTGAGTTTGCTGATTTCTAGGGGAACAATGACATTTCTAACGTAGTGCTTTTGCAGTTTCGAGTTCCGGGCTGGAAACCGCACTGGAGTGAACGTGAAGGGGGATTGCGTTGGTATTTCTATCGCATGTGTGATTGCACTGAAAAACTGCAAATGTGAGTATTTTTTTTATTAAAATGGCTACACTCAGCAAATTCTATTCGTCAAGTAGCTTGGCGAGTCGTTGTTTAACTTCCTGAACCTCCGTTAGAACTAATCTGTCCAGCTACACGCATGAGCACAACTAATTTATAAAAAAAGAATTATTCCTCGACACATTGATAATAACAAACGAACCTCTTTTCGTCGCTGTTCCATGCGCACAACTTTCTCGACAATGGACGCACTGGCACTCGTCGATAGGACGCGGTCGCTGAACTCGATGCGCAGCAGCTTCGACAGCGAATCCGCCTTGGGCAGTTGGTATGTCGACCTCACGCGGCGTACAGTTTTCTTCAATAATTTATTCTTTCTCTGTTTCTTCCGATTAGAATCGTCTGGACAAGATATTTCTGATGCCTTTGTACATTTTCTACGACGAGGAAATGTCCATTTGGGCTCCGTTGTGGATACAGACTGCCGAGTCCGCATGGACGCAGCTGAAGCCTTCCGTTCGGTGGTTTGCCCTTCGCCACTCACAATCGATCTCTCAGCTGCGTGCAGCTGGTTCAACACCCCGTCCAGCTCCAGATCGACCACTTGAGTGGCTGTCACTGTTCTCCCCGAAATCGCGTGTCGTCTTCGTGAGCCCTTAACAGCGACGTCGTCCTCAACTCTCAAGTCGCAGGAAAAGCGACGAACTCCCGACGACGGCGACGATGCTCGTGTGACATTCACTGGAACCACATTCTGCCTTCCTTCCGCATTGAAATCTGCATTGTTGCCTCGTCCTGACAGCGTACGATTCCCGTTAGCTCTTGCAGCGTCACGTGTCGCTTGAACAGCTTCTTCGATGCTGTTTCTATCCGTTTGGACGGGCTGGGGACTTCCTGGACTCGTTTCTGGATTTGCAAGCTTACAAGGGGATTTTTCAGCTTGAAACTACGGAGCAAACAGTTAATTAGAGCTTGAAAAACACACGCACGTGTTACTTGCACGAACCTCAGTTGCGCACAGCAAGCAGACACTGTCAGTAACGTAGACTTCCGTGACCCCGTGGCGCAGACAAAATCCGTCGCTAGATTTCTTCGGTTCCTCGTTAAAGACACGATAAACGTTGCGCTGCGAGATCAACGCTTCGAACGCCAGCTCTCGAAATTCTGTACAGATCACCGTGTTAAGTGTGAAGTAGCGAGTTACAAGAAACACACCAACTAGTCTATCAACGCACTTTCCAGACTCATTTCCCCCGAGCCCTCTCGATCAAACCGAGTGAGTGCATCCAGCAGAACTGCACTCCCCATGAGAGAGTGAAGCAAAGTCTGTAGGGCCAAACGTCGCTGGTGGTCCACCAACTCCGCTAAAACAGCAACGTCCTGTTGCGTTAGCCGCTCAAGTGTACCCACGTGAGGATCCAGCTCCAGACCCAAATCTTCTTGACCCTGGAGGCACTTGGCCAGAGAACGCAGCTCTGCTATCTCAATGTATCCATCGTCCAAGGATTCCATTCGCTCGAACAATTCGCAGACCACGAGCGCTAGGATTTTGATCCGAAAGTCTCCGATCTCTGCCCTGAGCGTGTCCCCATAATGATGAATCACATCTTCGTGTGGCTGAATGGCAAGTACTGGAGCTCCATCCTTAGTGATGCTGCCAGTGGCGACTTCCCAGCGTCGAATCGCACGGTTCCAAATGACTCGACGCTCAGGGGGGCAACTGCTTTGGGTACGCGGAATGGGAAGCCATCCACTGTCATGTTGCCAAAATGGCTCAATGAGAGACGCCAATACGTTCGCATCTATTGTCGCTGGCAGCTCTCGTTCCTCCATCAAAACAAACAAGAGCTCTCCAAGCAAAGCGAGCATCGGGAGAGTTGCAGGCCTTACTTCAGCCAGTAGACGATCTACCGAATATCTCCGTGTGAAGTGAAGACTCGCGGCTGATTTCCAGTGTGATGCTGGGGTCACGAAGCTTGCGTGACGCAGAATTGCTGCGAGTAATACTGTCGGGAAGCCAGAGGTTGCCCTGTCCTCGGTGATTCGAAACACGAGGCGCTTTGCTGCCAGACACGCCTGTGATAGAGTCGTCCAGGTCATTAGAGCGGTCACCACATGTAGCGATCGCGAGCTGTAGTCCGACTGTAATGTAGCAGTGTTAAAGACCCCCACGTCTTCATCTCCGCTAGTGTGAGATCTCGCTGTCTTGGGCCAGCTCTTGGTCATTGTTGGTACATTCGACACTCGTCGAGTTGAAGAGCCCTTTTCGAGTGCGTTCGGGGACCTTGTCGGCTCTAGTTCTGCGCTGTTATGGTGCGTTAATGTATCTAGTTGTGAAGGAGGTGTGGTCTTGGCTACACTTGGAGTTGAAGATAAAACTCGCGAAGGGCTTAAAGCTGCCACTGGATGAGTACCGTGAACGCCACGCGCTCTCCGACGCATGGGCAGCAGCTTCGTATATTCAGACGGCATGAGTGCCCCGACCCAATCTCGAGGCACTGCCAGGCCACTAAGGTAAAGAGATGTTGGAGGCCAGTACACTCCACCTGGTGGCTGTTCCTCCAAGAAAATACGGTCACGTAGGACATCACGCAGATGCCCCAACGGGACCGAGTCAACCAGTAATCCGACCGTCAACTTGAGCGTCAGTAGTCCGAATGAAGCAGTCTGTAGCTCTAGCAAATAATCGGTACGGCTCTCGGGTTGCAGCGAGTTTCCGAACCATTTCGCCGCCGTATTCACAGATCGCAGCGACAACAATGTGTACCCAAAGAACTCTTCCTTGTCACGATACCGACTCGGCTGACGACTCGGACTGCTACTCTGTGGCTCCTCTGCATCGTTCTTAACGCCTTCCCGGTCTTCGCTGTCGCTGCCGTCGCTCTGGGATCGAGGCTTCGCTTTCAACTTGATAAGAAGTCGCTTCTGGGAGCAAAACTCACTGAAAGCTTCCAATGTCGCAAAGAGATAATGCACCCTCGCTTCACAGAGTTGCCACCGATTGGGAGTGTGTCGCTTACTGCCTTCAAGTTGCACTCGCGTGACATTCTGCCCAAGTTGATACTCCAAGTAGAAATCGGTGGGCTCCAAGTCGGGACCTCCGTCTTGCAATTCGTGGAAGAAAAACACCAAGCGAAGTTGCGTCGCAGTAGGATCCACGTCTGCACCTCGCACGGGTGTCAGTGTGCTCCCTGAAGGTCTCAGTTCAGGTGAATCGCCTCGTAGTAACAGCGAACGCGGGATTTTTTCAGTCTGAAAAGCTTCAAGACTTTCGAGAACGCTTCTCGGAGCTTCTTGGTTGCGTCGTAGCTCCGTCGACAGGAGCTGAGGCGCTAGACCGGAAGCTGCTGAGGTGGCCATCCCAACTCCATCAGTAGTTGTTGTCTCCGCCTCTTCTTCTGCGTCGTCACTGGGGTTATCAGTGCAAGGACACAATACTACGTGCAGTTCACGTGCGAGTGACTGGAGTCGCTGCTGCTGCTGGTAGATTCGGTAGCAGAGAGTACACGTCGGAAAGTCGCACACATCACGCAGATGCGACTTTCGCACGGTGCTGACTGCATTCTCCCACACGAGAAGGTCCACGCCACGCTGCCTCATAAGGAAAATCGTATCCAGAGCCATTGTGAGCGTCATTCGGAACTCATCAACCGCTTTGATCGACGTCGTACTGTTTGTCTTGAGCTCGTCACCACTCTGGCCTCTCACCATTGCGTCCAGCTGGACTCGGAACGTCGGTGGGAGCTCGCAGGAACAGCCGCAGAGGAAGCACGAGCGTGTGTTCATTGTGTTGTTTAACTCATCTCCTCGTAGTAGTGTCGATTCTTTAGGAGGAGAAGTGGGATCTTCCAGTAGGTCATTGGTAGGACCGTATCTCGAGCGGAGAGTGTCGGGGATAAACACCGCGGAATCGCGCGAGCCGAAGCATGCGTCATCTCTTGGCGGTTCTACCGAACTGGTGGCTTGGAAATCGACAACTCTTGTGAGCCACCACACGCCATCAGCGTCTTTGATAAAATCCGTCGTCATCGAGTGGAAACGTAGAGTGGGCAGTTGCAGCTGGACGTGTTCTACGATACGAAAAGTGGCTTGAACCCCTTCGGCAATTGCAGTTCCTCGCAATCTTGGCCATCGAGCACACGCCCGAGCGTCTGGAGAGACCGTGACGCAGTAGAAGCGAGCCGTTTGGGCTGCAGTAGCCATCGCAGCTTCGAACGCCGCATTCATCGCTGCCATTGTCGACGCTGATAACCCAATGGGTGAGGCAACACTGGGAGTATTCCTTACCTCTTCATCCTCGGGAGCCTCGGAGCTTTTCAAACTACACTACCGTATCATAACGGCGTTTTAATGACAGTTGAATAAAAACAGTTAATGGTTAGTTAAAATCGTACCTGCTTGTTAGGTTGACGGCAAAACACTTGCGCTCCTGTTCACACCAGAAGACGCGGTAGACACTGGCCTGTGATCCTCGACAATGCACAAACTGCTGTATACAGATTGGAAGCTCGCCTGGTACCGCTAGTATAGGATCTAGGGTTCTTCTGGTCAACACAACAGCACTCCCACCACTAGAATAATTGCTGCTTTTCCACCGAGCGACACTTCTCACTGCCAACACAGGGTCATTTTCGTTCGAATCAGAAGGTGCTACACCCACGAGAGCATTGTGCAACTTCTTTCTCCACTGTGGCGTCTTGTCTTCCCGAATAACGTTGCCTTGTTTATCAGATCGTAACCAGAGCACCGACTCTTGAGCGTTAGTGCGCTCGCAAATAACAGTTAAAGGTAAATTCACGCGTAGTTTCCTGTGTGAGTGGCTCTTTGTCGAGACCTTCCCACTATTGTCATTATTGCCGGCACTTTCAGCAGCACCAATAGGCTGCAGATACTTGAAGAAGAAAATCAGTGGCTTCACCTCTCGAGGACACGGATAATGACCATCACTCTAACATCCATAAACCACAAAACCAACGCATAAAACATTTTGCAAAATAAAAATGCAGGAAAAACTTACACTCACGTCATTTGCATTCGATCGTTGGTTATCACCAGATTTTGGATCAACAATGCGAGGTCCGATCTGCCACAGAGCCGCAGACACTTGCACCTCTGTTCTCAGTCTCTCGCTCAGCGTCTCGCCACGTTGTCGGCGGCGCATTCAGACGATAAAGATCTGCCGACGCTGAAGCAGCAATACCGAGTTGCAAAATACTAAAAATATGAGAAACTGTCGTATTTTTTCAGAGAAAGTAAGCAAACATTTCCAGTTTCCTAGTCCGTTTTAAGAGGCCAGCGCAATGAAGCCGACAGTTCGTCGCGAGTTTAATCCGTCTCGCTCTTGGTCTCCGTCTTGCCTTCCGTCTTGGCCTTTACCGTCTCGCTCGGCGGTAGAGCTTTCTTCGGTGCGCTTGGCCACGTGTTGTACAGCACGACCGCAGCCGACACGCAGCCGACCGACCCAATAATGCCGTCGTGCAGCTTCGTGCCCGTGATCCGCTCGGCCAGCCGCACGCCGCTCGTGTTGGAGGAAACGATGAGATCGCACGTGACCTTAAGCACCGCGAGAAGCTTCTTGAAGCGGCCGCTCCTCAGCGTCTCCAGTTGGTTCTGCAGCGTCTCAACGCGTGCTGTGTCCTCCTCAGAGGCCAAAATGTCCCTCACACACTTCTCCTTCTCCACATCGGCGTTGAGACTCTCCAGGGCGTTGAAAAAGCCCGCGACGTTGGCGCAGAACCACATGACGCCGCCACGTTGAGCCAGATCGTCTGCGTCGAGGCGAAGCACTTTGGCTTTGCTGGCAAACGCCGCGTTGTCCGCCAAGAAGTAGCCCAGCATGCCCAGGTTCTGAATGAACTGCAGATAGCGCTGCGTCTCAGTGAGACTCTTGCTACCGGACAGCGTTTGCAGTTTCTTGTAGTACGTGACGCTCTTTCCAAGGCGAAATGCCTTACGAGACTGCTGCATGACTTTGTAGAGCGCGTGTAGACGCTGACCCACGTCGCTCTTAGGGTCAGCCGACAAGACGTAGAAGGCCAGCGCTCGACTGCCATATTGCAGCATCTAGAGGGGATTTAGGATATGAATTAGTGATGTGTTAGAGAGTGTAGACGCTGTAGATTGTATTTGTACCACTGGCTTACAGTACCTTGGAAAGTTTGTCTCGGCCTTCTAGACAGAAGGCCAGCTTTATGAAGGCGTCGAGTGAGAGTGGGGCCTTGGTGTCCATGATACAGCGATGTCGAGAATGGGAAGGTAGTGGATGCACGCGCAGGAAAAAGAACACGAAGGTGCAACCTGGTACTTGAGTGGAATGCTGTGCGGGAGGTAAGCGACGCCAATAGTGTGAGACGGCGGGCCAGCGGAAGCTCAACTTGAACTGTTTTTGATTTTACGTGAACATGGATCAGAGATTGAATCAGAGTTTTGCTCAGAATTATCAGAAGTGGTGGGATGCGTGCTCGATTTTTAGTAAATCGAGGTTGTTTTATATATCGAGGTTTTAAAATGGGATAGATCGAAGTAAGAGCGGCTATAACGGTAAATCGAGCTTTTAAAACTTCATTTAATAAAAACTGGTATACAGTACTGCACCCGGTTTTCGCGCCCTTGGACCTTTGGTAAACTTCCGGATGTGATGATCCTGAATCCAAATGAACTATAATAATACTATCAAAAAGGGCCAAAAAGTCTGCAAAGCTTAGCGTTTTGAGAACAGGCTTCATCGATACTATCGATGAAGCTGAGGAAACAAGCTGATTTTATCCCCCCCCTAGTGTTATCAATACCATTTGCGAAAGAGACAGATCGCGAGTGAAGACGTGTATTTACCCGCTTGCCCTACGTACCGGTAACACCCTACAAACGTTGGATCGCTGAGTGCCGACGACGGCGACACGGGGTGAGGAAATGGAGCTGCCGATTGTGACTGCTGGCTGCTCCGCAGGTAAAGCACATGACGCGCCACGCCCGACACGCAATATGCATGTTGAAGTTACACTGCGGTACAGGATTCTGTCGACACGAGGTTACTAGCGCTATCTGCACTTAGCCCCAACACCAGGTGCTGGTGTTGATAACCTTAACATTAGAGGACAAAAATAGGACCAAACGCTACATGAAGCGCCTTGCAATACCATCATTTACACGGTCTTCCTTCCATGGACATAAAGCCCTTTACGACTTCTATCCGAGTATGCTCATCATCCTAAAATGGACATATGTGTCACTAATAACAAAGCATGTCTGTGTTTTGGCGAAAAGTCACATTTTATCACATTTCAATAAATGGACACTCACAGACGAAGTCTCCATATCTGTTTTTCAGATATTTCGCACTTAAGGTGGAGCGCAGTACCCTCCTTTTTAATACAAGCCCTAAGACATTTTTTGTCCGTCGTACTTCAATGAATTTTGGTCCTTTTGTCTAGGACAAAAAATGTTGGGGCTACTTGTATTGTAACTTGCATAATGAAGCGAGACTTGAAACACTAAAAAGCAATTAAAGTGTTAAGAAAAGTCATCTTAGTGACGGTAGCGCTCTGTAGAGGTCGAAAAAAAATAGCTGCGAAATCAAAAATAAAGAAATGCTAACTTGTAATATTGGAAATTCTTTGGATATTTATATCCTTAGGCTCGGTAAACCTGTACGAAACTTTACTTTGGCTAATATCGTAGTAACTTAAAACAAACAGTTTGATACAACTCTACGTAAAACGGTCGTAATACGTAATGAAATGTGAAACTTTAACTCAGAATGGGTGAATGTTGACCAAGTCGGACAAGAACGACATTCAAACAGCCTCATTTGTAGCCAAGTTTTATCTTATTGAAATTAACGTAAGACTTGGAGGGTGACTGAGGAAACACAATGTTTTTGAAAATATCCAGACAACGCACGCCAATACAATTTGACATTGGTGTTTTTTTTAAAATGTCATTGGGTAGAATCTGGCCACAATCTTTTCAGAATGGTATCGTTCGTCAAATATGATAACGTCGTGGCTCGCCCGATTTAAATTTGACAGAATCTAAGCATGAGCATCGAAGGTTGGGATATCTTGTATGGATACCACTGACCGTCGGGGTCGGCGACCGATGCATCTCCTGATTACCGACGAGAGCTATCTCATACCTATTTGTTAGACGAGATTGCCCCCGTAGAAGCATGCAGAAATCGTAAAAGGCTCATTCGCAATTATCGCAATTCATGACAGCGGAACCATCAGAGTTGGTCAAGGAGCGATTCAGCAGCGGGTGAATATCCGCCGATTGATCCCATGCTGATTGAAAACGGGCGTGGGGACGAGTGTCGAGTATGTTGCAGTTGATGTCGATCTCCAACTTAGCAGATGCTGCCTTTCGCTTCTGAGCAACAGCAGCCGTGCCTCTATTATCTTTTCCCAGTTTTCTTTCTTCACAGTCAGGACACACACCAAATAACATTTGATATTTTTGATAGTAACAGTACTATTTTAGATATTAAATTTCAATTGTAACTTGTTTTTCAAAAGTAAACAATTTTTTTATTAGCTCAGATATTTGAAAAATAGTAGATACTAGATGATATTTTATGATATACTCCCACTTAAGTTCTTAGTACGTTTCTTGCCACCTTGCCCTCTGTGTGCCGAAGGCTCACCAAAGAGCTCTTCGGGTCAAGCTCTAAAGCAGCAGTAGTGATGACTTTAAAACTGACGAGTATTTGCTCTAGTATTTCACTGTGACACAGACAAAGATGAAAAACTGCAAACGGTTGCAGTTGTTTGAAGTCGATAGAGCGAAATATAGATATTTGTTCTTGTTATCCGTCGATAGCCTTGTCCAGATCGTGCACTCGTCACCCTGCAGCCTATGATTAATGCGCTCAGCAGTGCCAACACTCCACATTAACCTTGCCGTCACTCTTACCCTCACTATTGATTAGTAATACATGTACTTCAGCTAGTCGAACTTTGACGATTTATTATTGGAGGATGCTTACCGATTACGTAATTTTCGAAAAATATTATATCGTATTAGCTAATATTAAGCTAAAGTTTAATAATACCATTTTGTACAAGGAGAACATATACATCAAGAACGTGGAGACCTTAAATGCGAAGCAGAATGCACATCACCAGGCTCAACTTGAAATTGAGGATCCAGAACTAAAGAAAATAGTCGAAAAACGGAAGGAGACGACCGAGACGGAGTCGCATGACCTTGAGAATGCAGGAAAGAAGGACTACAGTTCGACGACGGGCAAGTCAAAAAAGAAGAAGGAACGTTCGAAGGGATCGAAGACTAGTAGGAAGAACAAGAATGCAGCTGCAAGGAAAGATGCTGTAGATAAGGAAGAAGCAAACGAAGAGCAAGTGCCAGCCGAAGAGCAGCAGCACACACGGATGCGTACGCGCAACATGGGAAAGAAACACGTTCCGGTAAGTGTCTGCCTACGAAGTGGGTGTTTAAGCTGAAAACCCACGCGGATGGTACCATTGAACGGCACAAGGCTAGACTGGTGGCTCGAGGAGACCAGCAAGATTATGGCGTAGACTATACATTCACATTCTCAGCAGTGCTGGAGTTGGTGTCGATACTCGTGGTGTCACGTATTTGAAAGGTTCCAGCGCGCCACGGAGATGCTCCGAGTGCCTATGTAAAGGCCAAGAAGGAAGCTGAATTGATCATCATCCTGTTGATACCGCAAGGCATGGATTTTACTGAGGCACAGCTCAGAGCACTGGGCGTTACTAATAAAGATGAGCCCGTGTTGATCCTGGAGAAAGGACGTTATGGGTTAAAGCGTTCAGGTCGACTGTGGAATCACTTATTGCACAGCATCTTGGTGTCGATGGGGTTCCAGCAGTGCTACACTGACAGCTGCCTCTACATCAAGACATAAAGATATGACATGTCACTTGTAGGCATCTACGTGGACGACATCTTAGTAACGGGAACGAGCGAGGATAAGGTCGACAAGTTCTTCGACGACATGCAGGTCGTGGAACTAAAAGACTTGGGTGTGGTCTCTAAGTTCTTAGGGATTGCGTTTAACTATGATAGCAAAGATGGGTGAACGATGAATCAAGAACAAGTGATCCAAGAGCTATTGATAAAGTTCGAGTTGGATAATGCAGCGCCGGTATGTACACCAATCGACGGTGGACACAACGGTGAGGAGAATAGTGCGTTACTTCCGAGTAAGTGTGCTGGGAGCCCAAGACGACCAACGGTGCAGACGTTCCAGTCTCTAGTGGGCAGTTTGTTGTGAATCTCAAGATGTACGAGATCAGACATATCATTTGCAGTGCACTGTGTGACCAGAAACGGGCATGCACCCACCGAAGTATTTGAAGGGAACAAAGAAGCTGAAGTTCCTGATGAGCACAAACAACCGTGATATGAACGACAAGGTGCTAGTGGAATCATACAGTGATGCAGACTATGCATCAAACAAGAAGGACAGAAAGTCGGGAACAGCAGGAGTACTCATGGTGGCAGGAGTAGTAGTAGCGTGGATATGCAAGAAGCAAACTTGCGTTGCACTGTCGACCATGGCGTCGGAGTTTGTGGCTGCGTCACAGATGACCGCAGAGATGCTAGGCACCATGGAGTGCCTCAAGGAGATAGGACTAAAGCTACGAAAACTGTCGGTGCTTCACGTCGACAATCAGGCCGCAATTGCTCAACTAGAAGGAGAAGATTCATCAGGTCGAGCGAACCACATAGATACACGTTAAAAGTTTGTCAAGGACTTTGTACAGAAAAATGTACTGGGTGTGGAGTACTGCGAGTCAGTAATGATGCGTGCGGGCATCCGGACAAATGTCTTCCCTGCGCCACGACGTAAAGAGCTACGTGAGCTTGTGATTTTATCAGGATGATCTCCCGGGAAGGAGTGTCGGAACTCGCAGGTGATCTGCGTGAGATCAGGAGATCTTGAGACGTCGTATGATAAGATGCTATTACGAAGATTCCTTCACGAGAAGGTAAGCTCTGACGGAGAAATATGAGAAGGACGAGCAGTTAAGAAACCTCTCACAGGAGAGGATGCATATTGGATTGTCAAAGCAGGCGTAGATAACAACTAAATACAATGAGTCTTCAATCTTCCACACAGAGCACAAGTAAAGCACCCAACGGGTTCCGACGATACTCAACGCTCTCCTATACACCTTTGCAGCTCATAAAATGGATCAGAGACCCTGTTTTGACGTGCTCATAAATACTACTGGAGACTCGATTGCAGACGTGCGCACAGTAGGGTTAATACTGATGTTGGGCTCGGAATCTTCTGGATATTAGTATCTAGAGTTCTTACATGTAAGAAAACATATTTTTGGCTAATATGTATTTTGCATTCTACTCGAAATTGCTCTTTGATTGAGCGCACGCAATAGCGCAAATCTGTTATTAACAGGAAAAAATATGCGAGTGACTCATTGACTTGGATCAAAACAGCAAATTTGGTTGCAATTCACAACGAGAGCTACGTATAGGCTGGGATATAGTAATGCATTGTTAATAGTAAGAAAAAATGTCAATTAGGGGCCGTTCAAAGCAACCTTCTCTTGTTTTGATTGTATCTTTTGATCTAGCAGAAAGTAAAATTAATGTTTTTGGCACCAATCAAAAGCTGACACAATTGTTTACTTCCCTGGTTATTAAATTGTTTTACACCAGTTATGATGAGGACAAATTAAAACAGCGCATAAAATGTGACTGTTATAATACCTCGGGAAATTTATACTGAAGTAGCTCGTAAAATCGGGTATCTTCGCTTGAATAATGGCAGCATTAGGGTCGCCTTGGAAATACAGTACGCGCCTTTACACAATTTCCCAGTCGAAATCCAGCGGTTTGGCCTTCCTGAAAAACTGCAGTGCTTCCGCGTCGGAGAAGGCGTTCTTGTCAATTTTGTCCCGGTACGTTTGGGTGTACCTGAGCCACAGATTCAACATTCGGTTGTCATCAGCGGCGGCAGTTTGCTTTTCTGCCAAACGTAGAATACGAAACACTTCCTCTGGAGTTTCTCGGGCCTTCAGCCACACGTCAGCCATCGTTTTGTGGCTCGATTCAGACGTCAGAAGCAAATACCTCTCCAATTTATCGGCGTGACTCTTCATCCCCGGGTTGTTTCGAAGCATGTGAACTAGTTTTATGATGTCTTCTTCTTCTGTCATTGTCTTCTGAAACAACGTCAACATTTGTGTGTCCCCGAAGAAAGCGCCCGCATTCTTGTTCCAGTACTTCTCTACATACTCCAGCCACTGACGGAACATTGGCGTATCATCCAGCTTTGTGCCAGCGTCTTTAAGACGAAGCGTATTGTAAACGATCGTTGGATACGTATCCTGTTCTAGGGCTTTGCGAATCCAATTTCCAGATAAAGACTTCTCCATACTCGCCCCGATCTTGGTCATTCCGGGAGTATGCCGAAGAGTTTCGAAAAGTAATTTCAACTGCTCTGGACTATTTGTCTTCAGAAGCAGATAGTAAATGTCCAGATCTGAAAACGCCTGGTTCCCGTTATTAGCTCGGAAGTCCTTTACAAGCCTGAGCCACTGCACGAAATCCGGATTATCATCCAACTTTGCTGCACGCTTGCCAAGACTTAAGACCCCGAATAACTCGCGTGGATGTATTTGGGACTGTATCCACACTTTGAGCTGCGCTTCTTCCGCAGACAAACTGGACGTGACCATTTTATGCATCAGACCGTCGACTTTCGCTAGCCAAGAGGGACCAACCCTCTCTTCGTCGTTGCCAGCCGTATCCCGAGCGACTGTGTCGAATCTTAGGAATCTTTCCGAGGAGGTTGCAATCGTGGCCGTGGAGAGAGGGCGGGGGTCATTGAGTCTCGATTTGAGACCAGTCATCGTCGGCCTGTAAGCTTGATCAGAGGGAGCTAGACCTTCCGCTAAACATGTACCGGCACATGTAATAGTCAGCATCATAATGCTCTGGAAACGCATGGTTGGGCCTTGAGTTTCTTGCGATCAAAACCCACTGTAGGTGGGGCAAACGTGATACTGTACTGTTTAATGTAATCTGTACGCGGAAACTTCGCAGTTAACTGGCAAAACGGAAAATGACAAAAGTACATGTACCGGTCCCGCTAGAGGGACTTGTTTTTACGACATGGCGGTACCGTACCGACTCTCAAATCCTTAAGAGCCAAACTTTAGCCAATGGACGCCATGCCACAAGGCGGCGTCATTTGCCGCACCAAAATCGCGCATGTATCCGATTTTATATTAATAAAAATAATCCATGTACAGTACTGTACTGTATTCAATTAATAATGTTGATGGGCGTTAAGTTGCAGTCTGTGAAATCAAATGACGCATATCTCAACGAAATTAGAAAGAGAACTTTACAAACTCTTGAAAAAGTTGCAGCTATGAAATGTGTCGACAAAACTCTGATCGCCATCTACTGGTCTGGTGTACCTGTACAGCAGCATCTATAAGCATTTCGATCCCTGGAGCTGGAGCTCCAGCCGTCGCCATCGGAGAAGTGGTGATGCAGGAGCATCACCACAGCTTCTTGCATCACCACTTCTCCGATGGCGACGGCTGCCCGCGAAGTTGAGCAAATATAATAGAAAAGGCAAAATACGCCCATATGCAGAGCTGTGCCGCGCCTTATCGCAGCTTTGTCAAGGAGGAAGCAGCGATGTCACTGTTATCATTCTTCAATCCTGACCAAATCAATAGTTAAGTACCTCCGAATAATAAAATCCGTCATTTTAGTACTACTATTCACTAATGATAGGAAAGAGGTAAGTATGAATATATATATATATATATATTACTTTAAAAATAGTATACTTCGTTCTTCTTCAAAGTAATATTTCACAAATGTTATTAGCCCCTGCCCTGGACGCGAATCCCTCGTGACGTCAGTATAATACTGTTGGTGAAAGCACGCGCGTATTCTTTCTGAAAAATATTCGGCCGTGTTCGATCGAAGCTAAAACCAGCTGTAAAGAGCTGGAATGTCTCAACCAGCTTTATTGCGCTAAGAAATACAAAAAATGACATCCAGCAGGATAGCTCCAAACGACTGGTTTCAAAATTCAGCTCTGGGTTGAATTTTGATTCGTCCTCCTTTGCGCCTTCAAATCCAGCCTTTTTCTGATGGAACACGATCACTTATTTTATCTTTATTTTACTTAACAAAACGACTGTTCTACAGCTCTAGCTTATTTTCAAACAAGCTAGATTTGCCCCTGCAAACCGAACACGGCCTTAATAGCTACCGAGAATCGTCTCACAACCCGATGTACCAGTATCCATTTTGCAAAACGGATAGTCGAAGAACCTTGGATCTTAAACCGCCGATTGGATAAATGCCTCGGACAAGGTAAGATGGCTATTTCAGGTTGCTTTCTTCGTTTAGTATATCGCTGCACCCATAATTGTGAGGGCTACATAGGCGAAAGAACACAAACCAGCAGCAAGGATATTCGGCAGGCATAGTTTTGCGTAAACCTTTGTTATCGCTTTTAAAATATCAACCCTCAGAAGTGACCCATTCGCTCGGTCAACAATGATGCCGAGTTTAGCTGCCATTGGCGATCATAATATTGTTTTAAACGTACTTGGCACTCGCGGAACTGTATGAATACATTTTTATTAGTGGGTATGTACTGTACTCTTCAATAATCGGAAGGTAGACAAGTGGTAATGACGTCTCACTGATTATTAGGCCCTAAGTCTGGCTAAATCAGACCTAATCGGAGTACTACTCCGGGAAGTGAAATGTGCTCCCGCAATTGATACAAGTGGAACAGGATTGCAGCAATACATATTATACTGCGTAGTATTAAATGATATTGTTTTGGGATCGGGACGATGTACTTATGAACAATACATGCACCAAACTATTAATATTAATACCAGGGTACATGTAATTTTGTAAATGCCCAATATTAATAGAGTCGGTGTACATATGTCAGCCATTCAGTTGAAATAGGGACTGGAGATGTGTCTCGTCTCAATAGACTTCCTGTACAGTATACACCTGGGTGGATCTTTTATCATAATTTCTTAAGTTTGCTGAGTCGAAACATGTGTCGACTAACAATCAGCACAATAAGGTTTCGAAGGCTATGAAATATTGGTTTTGAAAAAAACAAAACATGTTTAGCTACCCTTTTCGTGTCATCTTTGATAAACTTTCGGATATAAAGTTTTTATATTTTGCTACAGACATCATCTCTGTATTGATAGCGTCAGCCTGTAGTTTCTGGAGCATGGAGCTAATCAAGGGTTACGAAGCATTGCTCCAAAAATAGCCTGGAGCGACCCCTCATACATGTAAATCCTCTGGAGCTAAGTATTGACGCATTCTCAAAATATCCACACGAAAATCTATATTTGGCTAATCCGGATTTTTGCGTAGATACACCCTTACTCCAGTTCTCTATTATTGTATAGAGGAATAATCCTGGTAGTGCTACGAGTACATGTAGTATTGTGGTTTTCATCCATTTTGGCAAAGCGGATGATCCGAGATCCACTATATCGGATCCGATTTGCTGAACGCCGTCGAAATAGAAAGTAGGGGTAAGATAAGATTGCTATCTCGGGCCGGATATGTCGATGGGCACTTCGAATTAAAGGGGAAGTGCCAGAATTGCCGTCATAAGTGATCTGCCCAAACTCATTTGCTAGAACACTTCCAGTCTAACCGCCATAGGAGAATTATAGCACCCTTTTACTCGGCAATCGCGCTACAGTATGCATACGTTTAGTGTTTATCTCCTCCTCGATAAGTAATACTGAGTTGTGGGTGGTAAGGTCGTCTGGAGATGACGTCGCCCTCATCATTAAGACCTTAAGTAGAGTCACATATAGCTAATTCAAGCCTTATAACCCTACACCCTGCCCAATTTATATAAATCGGGCCCCGAGATAACACAGCAAATCGGGCGGCAAAATTGATAAAAACCACAATAGTATGTACAGCCCAATATGGACTCATTCAAACCATCATGGTGTGGCGCACAAAAAAGTAGATATCGAGCTCTTACATTTACAAATGAAAAAAGCTGTAAAATCCTCGTTTTTAATCAAATATGCAAGCATACAACGTTTAATAGTTACTTATTTTAAAAAATAACATGATATTTGGATCAGGGCACATAAACAAGACGAATTTTTAAAATGCAATAATTAATAACAGCTATATATCACGTTACAAACAAGCGGATCAATAGCAATACTGTACTGTACAGTATGGCGTTGAAATGACGCACTACGCTGTTAGTATGATGGGGCTGTATCCAATGCTTCGTTGAAGACCTTCTTCAAATGCGCTATTATATAGCGAAATTACGTGGTTGAAGTGCTAGTTAATGCATAACCAGACTTGACGTAAAGCGAGTCGCCAGACGAGAAGTGCACGGCAAAAAACAAGTCATATCTGCAGAAGTACGTGCAGTACGAACAACACCAATGCTAGTGAGGTTTGATTTTGACGTCAGTTTGATAACATGAGCCACGAACATGTAGTAGAGTCCAGCAATATTGGGGCCAACCACGTAGCGTTGAGCGATAGCAAGCCACAAGTCAGTTGTACAAAACATCTGCGTACACGATGGGGATCGAAAATCCATGGCTTAGATATGTCGTTAAGGTCGTTGTCTAGAAGATCAACTTGGACAAAGCCAGCGCTGCACTCGACAGTATCATAGCATATCATGCAATCGCTGTTAGATTTTGTTTCATTATTCAAAAATTGACATTATCAAAATTTACATCCCGGATATGTTTGTTAATACTGAATCGGTGACGCATCCACCCCAATACGGTCACATTTGCACAGAGATAGCCTTCAGTATCAACAAGAGCTCTGTGACCACGCACGTGGATCAGTAATCGATAAGATGGATATATTGTGGAAAAGTCGAAAAGTAGATAAGTAGCAACCCCAACAGTTCGCTCACCACTGCGGCGACGGAGTATGGCCCAAATTTGGACGGGGCCACCGCAGCACGTGAGCCAACTGAAAATTTGCAATTGTGAGACAGTTTGAGAGATACTTCGCTGGATTGAATGTGACCACGTCTCAAATATTAATACAGGCCAACACAGATGCAGCACGCCATGACGTACACCGGCGAAGAATATAATTGAACATTTCTTATGACATGTAAAATCGATTGTTGTGCCCTGAATGCTCTGGTTTTATCTTACTATGCCGTTTCGATTTTTTAGGTTCCACCCACGTTGTGGGATTTTAGTAAACCAAAAAGCAGTATGTATCTGATAATTGGTGATATGAGAGGAAAAAGTATATTGTGAAAACCAATTAAAATGTCCAAATCATATGCTAATAGAACGATTTAAGGTGTTGATAAACGCGATTTATATATACAAACGGATTTTCAGATATTTTTAGGATCCACACGTCTGAATTAGAGTCCGTTTTATAATAGATTGAGACGTTCAAATATAGATTTCTCGGAATGCCCATACACGGCTGGGCATTCCAAGATGAATAAACCCTTAATGGAGAAGACAAGAGCTTGTGCTGCAGTTAAGGAAGGCGACTTCGGCCACACTAGTAGAACAAGTGTGCCCGTTGAAAATGCCGACTTCGACTTTGATGAAGAACAAGATGGCTTTGAGCAAGTGTACGCTTTAGCAGACGAGAGGGTAAAGTTGGCTTTGGCAAACTACTCTACGAAGACGACTCGGTCCGACAAGAAGCTATACTTGAAGCCAAGTCAACATGCAAAACAAGCGCAGTTCGTGGCGCTAACTAGTGAAAATTGGCATGAAATGCTGGCCAAGGCTAGAGCCAACTACCACAAGCAGAAAACCTTTGATGGTCCGTTTGTTGTGCACGTGTTGATGTACGCAGCTAAGGAAGCACGACAAGGCATTCGTCGTGCCACGCCAGCTCGCATCGCCGAGGCCACTGAGGTCATCGATAGCTATATGGCTGAAAGGGCAGAGGTTCGTGTTGGTGATATCGCCCGTACCCATTGGGCAATTAGTCAAGCCCGTCAGCCCGATGATGCCAGTGTTAGTATAACGGAGAGCGCTAAGTTCCGACAGATGCACCATTTGGACGCAATGAGTACCTCACCTCAAGAAGATCGGGGTGCAGATAGCGTTTTCGGTACGCTAACAGTGCGGCTAAACGGATCGAGGGACATGAAGCTAACAGTTAATGTCAGCGAGCTTCGAACGCTGCTCGAGCTACCAAACTACAGCCTTATCGTCTGTTATCGCACTTTCAGCCGCCCCCAGAACCTGCTGTGGACATGGAAGACGTAGACCATATGAGCGACTAGAGAAATGGAGGACCGATGTCTAATCAATGCCATTTATATATTTTTTCTCGCTTCGCTCATGAAAATCTAGTAGCAAGGGTTAGATATTATCTACTCCTTCCTACTTCGACATAAGTAGAAATTATACACTTAGTAGATACGTTTAGCTTCTGTGTCAAACTGGAACCTGGAACAAAAGTTCCAAGCCTCCAGGTTTGCTGAGTGGTTAGCATCCATTTGACTGGATCCTTTGCTCGACGACTGGTCAGTTTGGATATAGAGTCTCGAAGGCACAGAGGCGCGCAGTCCAACGCCACTTGGACCAGCCCGGCTCCCTTACACTGCGAGTTCTGCGCCGCTCTCTCCACCTCCCGTCTTGCCCGAGTCTACGGCAGGTGCGTAGCAGCTCTACAATGATCAGTACGTCGTTCTAACCTTTTGTATGGCGTTTTTGGTGCTATGAACAGTGAAAACCCGTGCTGCTTTGGTCGGCATTGCCTACATAGGTGAGCTGCTGTTGCTGACAGCTATCTAAACACCGTACCAACACTTCGCACACGACGCAATTACCTTATTTCGCAGTGGAGAGCAGTATTATGGATCCTGTTTCGTGCTTGGCAGCTGTTGTGGTGTTGGAGATGATGAGAGCACCAGATCCTTCTACTTCTAGAGCGGTGAACCTGCTCGTACAGCAGCATGAGATGGAGGTGGACGTAGTTAGCGGGCTCTTTCGTCCACGAGATCGAGAATGGATTGCAAAGGAACGAAGTAGTCATTGGTCTCAGATGCTCTTCTCATCAAGAGTGTATTTCGACTCCAGCATGAAGGACCTATTTCGCATGGATAGCAACAGTATTGCTAGCCTCTTCAGGACCATTTGCGCTGGGCTAGTGCCGTTGCGAAAGGCACCCGATGCCGTTGTGCCGCCAAAGCGTCTTGCGGTGTTTCTATACCTGTGCGCACACGGCTCATCAACTCGCGTCACGGCAGATCGCTTTGCCATCGGCCCAGCTACGGTGGCCGGCATCGTAAAAGAAGTGGCAGCTGTTGTGTGTAGTTTGATGGGAGAACTGGTGGCATTTCCACCGTTTCGACTTTGCGCCTCCCATTTCGCTAGCGAGTGCGGCATTCCTCAGATCGTAGGGTGCATTGATGGATCTCACATACCAATTGCAAGGCCAGAGATAAATGGGTCGATGTACTACAACAGAAAGTGTTGGTATAGCGTTGTTCTACAAGCTGTGGTTGACTGGAGAGGTAGATTTTGCGATCTCGACTGCAAATGGCCTGGACGTGTCGGAGATAGTCGCGTATTTCGCAACAGTGCACTTGCGCACTCATTTCCAGCGATCTCAGCAGCATCAGAGACTATCACACTTCCCACGGGAGTGGACACTTATGCTCGTATCCCGTATTTTCTACTTGGTGATTCAGGCTATCAGAACACGAATTATCTAGTGACTACCTTTGAAATTGCTGAGACTGAAGCAGACGAAATCATAGCAAAGATGAACAAGAAATTGAGCCACGCTCGTTATCGCGTAGAGTGCGCGTTCGGCAAGCTCAAATGTCGCTGGCGTATTTTGCTGAAAGGAATTGATCAGGACGTGCTTGATGCTCCCGACATCGTGTTTTCGCTTTGCATCATCCAAAACTTTCTCAAAGACAACAATGATTCATACCTTATTGAAGAAGATGACTGGCGCCAGATCGTACGGAAGTATGAAGCTCGATTTCCTCAACCCGTTGAAGTGAGTGGGGATGCATCTAGCGAAAGTACACGAGATGAGCTGAAACGATGGTTTGCATTCAAATTACGACAAATGTCCTAGTAAGAATTGTAAAGTTTAGCCTAGAATCACTGAGCGCTGTTGTTCTTCGTCAGAGCACTCACGAGAGCTCCCAATAGCTCCATGTGCTGGGAGTGCTGCTGTCGGCGTTCTTTCATTTCTTCTTCCTGCAGTTTCTGGGTACGTTCAAACAGCTCTGCTGATCGTTCCTGGAGAATCTCCCGCATCTCATCATACTTGTTGCTGCGTTTCCTCTTGTTGTTTCTTTTTCCTGTGTTGTACGGGTCCTTATTTTCATCAGCACAGTCCGTGCGCGCGGGAACACCAAAAATACTGCTAGTGTCGTCACTAGTAGCACTGTTCGTGATATCTTCTTTGTTGTAGCGAGTTGTAGCGGCGTAAGTAGACTCTAGCGGCTCGGTGTCGACCTGCCGGCCAAGGAAGAGGTGTAGCTCATCGTACACGTCCTGGCTCACGTTGGGGCTCTTTACACGATGACGGTCACTGCAATACGCATGTAAAAGCTTAATAAACATACCAATGTGTCATCATAAAGACGGTTTGGCTACTTACCGAAGCTCCTTCCTCTCTTTCTTGCTCAATTCAAACCACTCAGGCTTGCCGGTGCTCCCTGCGATCCTATTGGCATTAACGTCACTAATAAAGCGATACATTTCACGGAGGGCCTGCAGCTTGTCTTCGACGGCCTTCTCTGATCGCGTGGAGGTCGGGAAGGCTGTCTTATACTCGTCAAAGACTTTTTGGGTGATCATGCTTGTTTTCTCGTCCTTGCGACGCTCTCCTGTCATTACTTTCTTCCACGCTCGCACAAGACCAAGCGTCGTTTCCCCTGTCCAGTTGCGCTTCTCGAAAGGCGCTGGTTTACATTCCGCATCGTTTTCGGTGCTGGTGCCGTCGACGACAACAGCTGCATCCTCATTCTTCTGCCTATCCGGCTTGCTAGCTTTCCCCATTCCTTCTCGAGGGGGGATCTTGTTGTGCTGAGAGAACGCCACGAAGAGGCGCTGAAGAACATTTAGTTTTGCAAGTTCCAGGTCTCAGGAAGCTCCTGACGTCACTGAAACAAAGGCACTAAAGCGCGGTGATTCTTGGAACTTTTAGTGGCATTTTCTCCTGTTTCAGGGGAAATCTGGCGATGCTAAACACATTTTCCCTCGAACCTGGAACTTTTTTTCCAGGTTTCAGATTCAAAAGCTTTGCTAAACAGCACCATTATCTATCTACTAAGTGTATAATTTCTACCTTGACAATCGCGACTTTTTCAAAAAATATTGATATCAGTATTAAAAATATTTGGATATGTACAGTATACTCGATAGTTACTAACCTTCACGTTACTATCATTCAACTGAGAGAGTACTCACTCTCTCAGTTGCCAACCAGTGCTCGAAGATCTTGGGAGGCACCACCAACTCCGCCATGACACCAAATTATTTTTCCTGCGATCGAATGGAGAATTAGTTGCACGTTTTGCGTCGATATACTATTTTCTGGATCGTATGCCGGTCTGCTCGTGTGGTTGGGTCTGGTGGTTATGGCGACCCAAACGTCATGCCCGACCCGTAGTATGTTGGTGATTAACTTTCTAGCTGTTACTTCTGTCGATATGTGACCTCTGCTCAACTGCTGCCCAGTCAGCGGTTTATAACTACTACTGCGTTGTGTACTACGTACACGTTTGGGGCAGACATCCACCTATTCACTTGTATTATATTAAATCTTTCTAAAACCGGAGCGCACGTACGACTAATTCGACGCGCGTTGCATCGTGCACATGAGTCGCGTCCGAAATTCCCGCTTAAGCTAAATCAACAATTAAAATATAAAAGCTGTGGGCATAGAGATATAACTGTATCACCGTATGTGGGAATTGATAGGAAATTTTCACATGGCGTGCTCACGAAACGTGTTTCCACAAAACTACTGGATCACTTTTGCTGATTTGATTCATATTTTTTTCGGTATGACCAATGTTTTAGTTAACCCTTTCGCGGTGCGAGGGCGCTTTTTTCGCCCTTTAACACTATTACCAAAACAAGGTGGAAAATGAGCTTGTAAAAGAACGAATTTTGCGCCCTTTCAGCTTTTCCTCCAACTCTGCCTACCGTGTTTCATAACTACCAATCGTAGCAGTGAATAGAAAGAGGTTGGAGGTAATTTTGGATCGTCTGCTCATCGCACAGTATTTTATTGCTCCAACGACCGTAATCGGCCCTTTCTACGCGGTCGTGCCATGGATCTAGCGGTCAATCGCCTAACAGCCAGTCACCAGATATACAAAAGGTAAGACGAATGCACCTCTCCGACCTCCCATTTCGCTATAGTGTACTCAACACTAATGCGCACTACCTTCACAGACACTGAAGATAAGCTGCTGGTGCAGATCGCCTTTCAATTCGAAAGGGAGGGCTTACGAATCACATGGGCCTACGTGGCCCGCCGAATGCAGACCAAGCGGCCGGCCTGTCAACTGCGGCTTCGGCTGGCTAGCATCAAGCGGACCTACGGAAAGGCGATTAGTGGCTTTCCGCCATGTTTTCTCCGCGGCATGCCATCAAGGCGTCTTCTCGGAGCGCTGAGGTCACCACCACCACCACCCCTCGTTTTGCAGCAAGTCGTAAACCAGCATGCCGACCTTCTGCTACTCCGTCAAATTCTCTACTTCTCGGCGGCGATCGCCGCATGCCAGGTTCGTCTGTTTTGGGGATATTTGCATGCCGTTCGTGAGACTGATGACGATAAGTTGGAGGCGATACGCATGGGAGCGCCGCCGGAGGCAGTCAGATGGCAGACGACGTGGATCAGGGAAACCAAGACTGCAGAGGTGAGGATACAGGACCCGCTGGCGGCTATATTGCGCGATATTGCGGGGGATGCCATCAA